ACGTCAAAGCCCAATCGTAAAACAATGAGTTGTGCCTCTTGGGGCCACCTTGGGAGATCTCTTGGAGCCTTGTCGGCCCTCTTGGGAGCTTCTTGGGGGCCTCTTGGATCCGATTGGGGGCCTCCTGGGACTTCCCGAGAACCTCTCGGGGTAGAAAGCTCGGATTCTCGGTTCATGTTTCCCTTCTTGGGCCTCTCTTGGGGCCGTCTTGGGGCCCTCTCGGGCCGTCTTGGGCGCCTCAGGCACCGCCTTGGGGCCCTCGTGGGCCGCCCAGGGCCCTCTTGGAAGCCTCTTCGGCTATCTTGGAGCTGTCTGGGAGGCCTCTTCCTCCTCCTCGTCCCCCTCCTCCTCCTCCCACTCCAGCTCTCTCTCTCCTCCTGATCTTCCTCCTCCTGCAGCGTGTTCCGGAAGGCTCCCGCCGGAACATGCTGTGCACAAGTGCTGTCACTGCTCCCGCCACCGTGCCCTGGGTGGTGGGTCAGAGGCCTCATGGGTGTTGGTTTGGATCTCGTGGTTGGCCTGTCGGGGACGTCGTGAAGGCAGTTTCGCAGCTTCTCGGTAGCCGTTTTGGGACCGTTGTGGGGCCTCCTCGGGCTGCTTTGTGGCCTCTTTAGGCCTCGTTTGGGCCTCCTGGGTGCTTCTTGGGGGCCTCCTGGGGCCTCTTGGGGGCTCCTTGGGGCCTCCTGGGGCACTCTTCAAGCGGGAGGGTCGAATTTTGGAGTCGTGGTCCCCCTCTTGGGCGCATCTTGGGGCCGTCTTGGGGCTCTGTTGGGCTGTCTTGGGCGACTCTGGGGCCGTCTTGGGGCCCTCTTGGGCCGTCTTGGGGCGCTCTTGGGGGCCTATTGAGCCGTCGTGGAACGTCGGACAGCCGAAAAGGCTGGAAGGCCAAAATCGTTCGAAAACCTTCGTAAACTTGACGATTTCGGCCTCTGGAAGCGCTCTGGAGAGGCGTCTTGAAGCGTCGTGGAGTGCCTTGGGGGGCCTCTCGGGCCGTCTTGGGCCTATCTTGGGCGTCCTGGAGCGGTCTTTCGGCGACTCGGGGCCCGCTTGGGCCGTCTTGGGAGCCTCTGGAGGCCCTCCTGGATTATTTTGGACCTCCCCGGCCGCCCCTCCTCCCGTGGGGGGTCGGAGGCGGCGCCTTCCGAGGCCCAGGACGCGGAACCCCCCCTTTTAAACACAAGGAAAATGAGCCCCAGTACCCCCATGGAGGCTTTTCGGCGCTCTTGGACCGATGGGAGCTCGAAAACGCGAGAAGCCAAAAACATTGAAAAGAACATTGCACATATACGACTTTGGCCTCTCCGGGCCGTACCGCGATACCTATCAGACTTCTTGGGGTCTCTTGGAGGCCACCTGGGAGCCTCGAGAGCCGTCGGAAGGCTGACTTGGGCTGCTCGGGAGCGTCTTGGGCCCTCCTGGAGCGCTGTGGAGGCTGCCCAGAAAGGCTGGGGCAGCAGTGCCGGGAGCGCCCCCGAGATGTGGCCATATCTTTTCAGCGCGTTCCAGGAGCATCTTCCCGGAACGCGCTCGTGGCAGGGCGCCCACGTCCGAGGACGTTGGCATGGGAAACCGCAGCGCGTGATCATTCCAGCGCGTTCCGGCGAAGACCGTCCGGAACGCGCTTGGGCAAGCGCTGGGTTTGAGTAAGGCGAGTGGGAACCGTTCAGGCAGTTTGGGATGCTCGGGGCAAGAGGCGGAAGCCATCCTCAGAAGACATGCGGTCTTCCTGGAGCCGTCTTGCAGAAAACCAAAAAAATTAGACCCTGCAGTCGTTCCTGGAGCCGTCTTGGAGCCCTCTTGGGCTGCCCTGGAGCCTGTTGGAGCCCTCTGCGGAATGGTCTTGGAGCCCGCGCCGAGGATCTGGAAAATGTCCGGGACCATCGCGGCGGCCTCCGAGGCCCGGGACGCCGAACCCCCGTGAAAACAGAGCGAAAATGAGCCCCGGTACTCGCATGGAGGGTCGGGCAGCTGTTTTCGGGCCCCTGGGTTAGAACCATCGCGCGCGCTTCACGCGCGCTCAGGTTCTAGCCCAGGCCGGGGGGGCGCTGGACGATCTTGGACAACGCTATCAAGCACAGGCGCGCGACGGCATCTGAGGAGCTTCTGGGGTGTTCCGCATGCTTCGTCAACTGGCTGTTGGAGGCACCTCTTGGGTGCCTCTTGGGGGGGCGTCTGAGGGTCCCTTGGGGGCATCGGTTCTGCAACCTGAAGCCGTCATTGGCCGTCTTGGCTGCGTGGAGGCCCGACTTGAGGCCACCTGCGGCCAGATTGAGGCAATCCGGAAGCCTCCCAGGGGCCTCCTGGAAGCAGTTTTGACGCATCGAGGGTACTCTTGGGCTATTTGAAAGCCTCTTGGACGTCTCCTGGTGGCCTTTTAGGCCCTCGGGGAAGCTTTCGGGGTCCTCGTCGGACCACTTGGGGGCCTCTTGCGGCCTCCTGTGGGCCTTGTGGGGGGACCGCTCTGCTGTTGGGTCGCGTTCCCCTTCTTGGGCCTCTCTTGGGGCTCTTGGGGCCCTCTCGGGCCGTCTTGGGCGTCTCAAGCACCGTCTTAGGGCCCTCGCGGGCCGTCTTGGGGCCCTCTTCCTCTGTGGGAGCGGTATTGGAAGCCTTTGGGGCCGTCTTGGAGCATCTGGATGCTAAAAGGCAGAAACAAAAACGTCAAAGCCCAATCGTAAAACAATGTGTTGTGCCTCTTGGGGCCACCTTGGGAGATCTCTTGGAACCTCGTCGGCCCTCTTGGGAGCTTCTTGGGGGCCTCTTGGATCCGATTGGGGGCCTCTTGGGACTTCCCGAGAACCTCTCGGGGTAGAAAGCTCGGATTCTCGGTTCGTGTTTCCCTTCTTGGGCCTCTCTTGGGCCGTCTTGGGGCCCTCTCGGGCCGTCTTGGGCGCCTCAGGCACCGCCTTGGGGCCCTCGTGGGCCGCCCAGGGCCCTCTTGGAAGCCTCTTCGGCTATCTTGGAGCTGTCTGGGAGGCCTCTTCCTCCTCCTCGTCCCCCTCCTCCTCCTCCTCCTCCCACTCCAGCTCTCTCTCCTCCTGATCTTCCTCCTCCTCCTGCAGCGTGTTCTGGAAGGCTCCCGCCGGAACTTGCTATGCGCAAGTGCTGTCACTGCTGCCGCCACCGTGCCCTGGGTGGTGGGTCAGAGGCCTCATGGGTGCTGGTTTGGATCTCGTGGTTGGCCTGTCGAGGACGTCGTGAAGGCAGTTTCGCAGCTTCTCGGTAGCCGTTTTGGGACCGTTGTGGGGCCTCCTCGGGGCTGTTTTGTAGCCTCTTTAGGCCTCGTTTGGGCCTCCTGGGTGCCTCTTGGGGGCCTCCTGGGGCCTCTTGGGGGCTCCTTGGGCCTCCTGGGGCACTCTTCAAGCGGGAGGGTCGAATTTTAGAGTCGTGGTCCCACTCTTGGGCGCATCTTGGGGTCATCTTGGGGCTCTGTTGGGCTGTCTTGGGCGACTCTGGGGCCGTCTTGGGGCCCTCTTGGGCCGTCTTGGGGCGCTCTTGGGGGCCTATTGAGCCGTCTTGGAACGTCGGACAGCCGAAAAAGCTGGAAGGCCAAAATCGTTCGAAAACCTTCGTAAAATTGACGATTTCGGCCTCTTGAAGCGCTCTGGAGAGGCGTCTTGAAGCGTCGTGGAGTGCCTTGGGGCGCCTCTCGGGCCGTCTTGGGCCTATCTTGGGCGTCCTGGAGCGGTCTTTCGGCGACTCGGGGCCCGCTTGGGCCGTCTTGGGAGCCTCTGGAGGCCCTCCTGGCCCATGGGGGGTCGGAGGCGGCGGCCTCCGAGGCCCAGGACGCGGAAACCTTGTAAACACACAGGGGAAATGAGCCCCGGTCCCGCCATGGGGGGTGGGGGCACCTGTCCTGGGGCCCCCGGCCTCGCCACCAGGGATATATATATATATATATATATATATATATATATATATTAATATATATATATATGTATACATTATATTGCAGGTATGTATATAGTATGTATGTATGCATGCAAAGCATGCATGCATGTTCTGTCCTGCTGTCTGTCTGTCTGTCTGTCTGTCTGTCTGTCTGCCTGTCTGTCTGTCTGTCTGTCTGTCTGTCCGTCTGTCTGTCTGTCTGCCTGTCTGTGTGTATGTATGTATGTATGTATGTATGTATGTATGTATGTATATATATACATGTGTGTAGGTATGTATGTATGTGTGTATGGATGGATGTATGGATGCATGCATGTGTGTATGTGTGTGTATGTATATATGTATGTATACATGTCTGTGTATATATATATATATTGATATGTATGTATGTATGTATATCTATGTGTATGTATGTATGTATGTATGTATGTATGTATGTATGTATGTATGCATGCATGCATGCATGCATGCATTCATGCATGTATGTATGTATGTATGTATGTATGTGTATATTAGTATGTATGTATGTATGTTACATATAATTATGTGTGTGCATATGGAGGTTTACGATGGCTCGTGCTTGGCGCGAACGCCACAACCTTCCTATATGGTGTATGCCTGGAAATGCCATGTAGGCCAGCTTGATCTTCTGACAGTCTTCCAGATTTGTTCTTCAGCTTGCCTTCGATGCGCATTATCATGTCTGGTGACTTGTCTTCAAAGCGTCTCCTGGCTTTGCCTGCATTGCGCTGACAATGAGCTCTCCGTGGGAGGTAGAAAACAAAGATGTTCAATGGGATATCACCCCCGTCCGCCCCTTCCTCCCTCCTCCACTCCCCCTCCCGCTATGCTCCTCGTCCCTCCCTCCTCCCCTTCTACCTCTCACTCTCCCTTCCCTCCCCTCTCCTGGCGTCGTGACCCTTCCACAATGCAGACCCCGATTGGCCTGAACCCCTTCGACACGACCAACTCTGCGCCCCGAGCCGTTTGTTGACGGCCCGGGGGATCGGCAACGGCCCCTGGAGGCAGGGGGCTGCCCCCACCCCTCCGTCCAGACTCTTCTCGCGACGCGGGGAGTTCTGGGCCCTCCTGCGAGGGGGCGGGGAGGCTGCCTGGCTTCGAGGTTGCTGGGTATGTCGGTGTCGATGCCATCGATGCCCTGGTACTTGTGGTGCTCCTGGGGGCGGCCACCAGCACACGCGCTGGGCGCTGAGCTCCTACTGCTTTTCCTCCCCCTCCTCCTGCGTTCTCGGTAATTGCTGCGCTCTTCCTCCTGCCTCACGCCTGCTTCTCCCTCGCTGCGCCCTCCCTCCCTCCTCCCTCCCTCCCTCCACTTTCTGACCCCGCCCGCATTCCCCTCCCACTTCATCCTCCTGCCCCCTCCCCCTCCCACCTCTACCTTCTCCCCCCCTTCTCCTCCTCTTCCTATTCCTCCTCGCCCCTCCGCCTTCCTCCTCGCCCTCCTCCGCGAGGCAAAGGGGAATGAAGAGGAGGCTGCAGGGTCTGGGTCACATAACTTCGCGCATCGTGCCCGGCGCCCCGCGACGGGCAATTGTGTTCGTACCCCCGCGGGTGACCTAAAGGATGCCTAAGAGGAGGATGCCTAAGATAAGAGGTGGGCGTGAGAAACAATTGCTTTCGTCTGCAATTGACAATCTTGCATTCGCGCCTCCCCTCCCCATCCTCCCTGTCGCCCTACTCCTGCTGCCGAAAAAGAGGATGACGACGAAGACGGCGTGAACAGCCGGAACGAATGGCAGCGCAACTATCCACAAACAGCCGATCTCGAAGTTGTCTAAGCAGTGGGGGAGCGGCGCCAACAACGAGAAAACGACGGCTCGGCGACGCAAGCCCGAATCCCACGAGCTCACGCCACAAGGCGTTCGCACAGAAACGCACGAGACCAAATAAAAGAACGAACACATCGCCCAGCTCCAGGTGGTAGCCCCGGAACGGGACGCAGTACGGGATGCCGATCGGCAGGTTGGCCAGCATCGAGAAGAGCCTAGGCGGGGCGAGCGCTCTCCCTGTTCCTCGTCCTGCTCCACCTGGTGCTGGTGGTGGCGGCCTTTTTGGCTGTCCTTGGAACTGCAGCCATCGTCCCCTCTTTATGCTCGCGCCAGCCTGGTGCGCAAGGAGGGGACATGTTGAAAACGGGTTCACCTCCTCCTCCTCCTCCTCCTCCTCCTCCTCCCTCTTCTCCTCCTTCTCCTCCTGTTCCGTCCCCTCTCGGGCGCACGCATCCGTGGTTCTGGCGCGTGGGCGCCACATTGACGGATCGCGCCGATTCTGCGTGGAAGCGGGGCCCGCCGCCAGTCCTCCGTCACTCACCTCCATCACCGCCACCATCGCCGCCACCACCACAGCATCACCACAGCATCCGTCACCACCGCCACCATTCCCACAACACCAACATCAACTCTACCGCTTCTACCACCACCTCCATCGAACGCCGTGGCGTCACTCCTACCTTGTGTGTTCGCTTTCCCCGCCACCGTGGATATTCCGACAATGATGATGACATCACCGTCGCCACCTTTATCAATGCAATACGCGCGTTCAAATCTTACCCCCTCAATCTTACACATTCTATGCCTGAGCCTGCAGCCAATCGGTCATCCCATCGCTGTATCATTTAATACATGTCTCTTCACTCGAAGCCTCTCCTCTAGAAGTCCGCAGAAGCCTCCGAACATCTCCAGAGGTGCCCAAAAACCTCTGGGCCTCTCTGAAAGCACCTGCTAGCCAAATTACCTCCAACGCTCCAATCTTTTGTCCGTCTCTTCATTCCCTATCTAGGCTCTGCCTAGAAGGGTTCTTACTCTATGTGCTTAAAGGGGCGGGCAATGTTCCCCGCCCCGGGCGGTTCCCCCGGCATCCGCCCCGCGGTTCCCCCAGGATCCCTCGCTTTCCCTAGCCTAGCTTAGCTTAGCTTAGCTTAGGTTAGCTAGGCTTAGCTTAGCTTAGCTTAGCGGCTTGGCTTGGCTTGGCTTGGCTTGGCTTAGCTTAGCCTAGCCTAGCTTAGCTTAGCATAGCTTAGCTTACCTTAGCTTAGCGCAGCATTAGCACAGCATAGCATAGCATTTGCCAAGCATATCACAGCATAGCTCAGCATAGCATAGCATAGCGCAGCATAGCATACCATATCATATAATAGCACAGCACACCAGAGCATATCACAGCATAGCACAACGCAGCATAGCATAGCACAGCACAGCAAAGCGCAGCATAGCATAGCACAGCGTAACATAGCGCAGCATAGCATAGCAACGCATAGCACAGCGAAGCATAGCTTAGCTTACCTTACCTTACCTTAGTCCAGCATAGCGCAGCGCAGCATTAGCACAGCACAGCACAGCACAGCCAAGCATAGCATAGCATAGCATAGCATGCAAAACAACAGCAAAACCAATGCGAGCGTGTAGATGTAGATGTAGATGTAGGTGTAGGTGCAGGTGTACATGTGGATGTAGGTGTAGATGTAGATGTAGTTGTAAATGTAGGTGTGGATGTAGATGTAGATTGGAGTCTCGCTGTCGATGTTGATATTGATGTAGATGCAGGTGTAGATGTTAATGTAGCTGCCGGTGTAGATGTAGATGTTGCTTTCCTAGATGCTCCAACTGCTAGGTAGGGTCGCACTGGGATAATTGCCACTCTTGTTTATGATCCTTGTCCGCTTTCCTCTTCTTCCCATTTCCGCCCTCTGCCCCTCCTCCTTCTCCTGCTCCCCCCTCGCTCCCTTCCTCTCCTACCTCCTCGTCGTTCTCCTGCTCCTCTTCCACCCTTGCGTGTGCCCTGGGGCCCTCGGGTCCGTGGAGGGCCCCGAAGCGGGCGGACCGCGCGCGGCCCCCGCGCCGCTTCGCCTCCTCTGCCTCCCTCCGCCGTCGCCGCTCCTCCACGCCCCCTGCGTCCTCCTCCTCCTCCTCCTCCTCCTGCTCTTCCTTTTCCTGCGATCTCGCTCATTGCTGCGCTCTCCTTCCTGCCTCGCGTCTTCTTCTCCCTCGCTGCGTCCTCCTCCTCCCGCTCCTCCTCCTTCTCCGCGTCGTCCTCCTCTTCCTCCTCGTCGTCCTCCTCCTCCTCCTCCTCCTCCTCCTCCTCCCCTGGCCCGTCCGCGCCAGCGCCAGCGCCCCTCCTCGGGCCCCTCGGCCGCCTCCTGATCGCTGCTCTGTGCGCTCTCAAAGCCGGGTAGCGCCGGCCTTTCGGCCTGCTGCACGCGGCTCTCTGTCTTCGACCTCTGGCTCCTCCTCGCCTCCCCCTCCTCCTCCTCCTCCTCCTCCTCCTCCTCCTCCTGCTCTTCCTGCTCTTCCTCCTCCTCCTCCTCCTCCTCCTCTTCCTCCTCCTCCTCTTCCTGCTCTTCTTCCTCCTCCTCCTCTTCTTCCTCGCCTTTGCGTCGTCGCTCCCCGACTTGGGGCTGGCCGCCTCCTCTTCCTCCCTCTTCGTCATATGGCTCCCCCCCGCCCCCTGTCCTCTGCCTCCTCCTCCTCCTCCGCCTCCTCCTCTGGCTTCGGCCTCCTCCAGCCCTCCTTCTCCTCCTCCTCCTCCTCCTCCTCCTCCTCCTCCTTCCTCCTCCTCGGCAGTCCGCGTCTGGGGGCGGGCTTCCTTATCCTTCTTCTTCTTCTGCTTCTTCTTCTTCTCCTATTTTGATGTTTCCGATTCATCGTCGCCTTTGGCACCCTATCTACCTGCTGCCAGCCAGGGCCATGGAGTCTGGCAGTGTGAAGGCGCAGGCTACGCGCCACGCCACAGCATGTTATAGAGCAGCGCTGGTTTCCTGCCAGAGGGCAGTGGCCAGAACAGGTGCTTCGGCGTCGCCGCCCGCCATGAGTGCAAACGCGCTGATGGCGGCTAGGGAACTCTCGTCTGCCCGGCCGCCAATCTCGAACGCACGCGGAGTCACGTTGCCGGCGGCGCTCCTCGCGGCCAGCGGCACTGCGCACCCTGGCAGGGTCAAAGTCGGCGCCGACATTTGGCAATGTCCAAAGCCACCCGTCTGCCTTCGCTACCACGTCGAGCATGTCGCCTGGCAAGTCGCCGGCATCGGCGTCCTCCAGCATGCCCGCCCAGGCTCTCCAAACGCTGTTACTTGAGCGTTCAGGGGTCGATGTTATTCGCGGCGAAGCGAAATGGGATGACCCGCGCCTCGTTGTGGCCTCCAGCAACGCCACCGCCCACCTTGCAGCCTTCCGCGCGGACGAGGCGAACGGTCCATCCCAGCAGCGCCCCGCATGCACCCTGGCGCCTGGTGTGCTGACAGTGCCTCTCCGCTGTCACATGAGAGATGATCTGATTTGTGGTGCACAAAAGGCGTTTGTGCGTCGCGCACATCCATTTTTGGGGCACGCGAAGAGAACTGCCCGCTCCCGGGCCGCCGCCTTGGCGCGGCCGGCCTTTGGGCACCTCCTCTGGGAGCTGGTTGAGAAGGTCCGCCCGCAGCACAAACATCGCGGCGTCCGCCAGCTCCCGCTGCAGGTGCTTCGGCTTTCCTGCGTGAAGTCCAGATTCGGGTCCTCGTGCCGAATAAGAGGCGACAACTATATGAACCCCGCACGCGCCCTCCGCAAGTCCGCCGCCAAAGCTGGAAAGCCAACTTCGAGACGGGCATCGGCGTAAACGGGAGCTCCGCTGCCTTGCCTCCACAGCTGGTGTCGCCACCCAGCGAACAAGGCTGCCGCGGCGCGCGGGGTAGCCCGGCCAAAGGCCGCTCCATCGTCTCGAAGGTGTAATTTGCCCAATTGGCGCTGCTGCGGCGTCAGGTTCACGCCGATGCGGCCCTCCCATGCCTCCGCAAGCGCCTGGTCGTGGTGAGCCAGGGCGCCAGCACTCCATAGGCGCAAGCGCAAGAGGTGCATCGGCGCCCCGATATTGACGTAAGGCAACACGGCGCCCGCAACCTGGCATCAGAGACCCTTCTCCCGCGCTTGCTTGCGGCTGGCCGCGGTGGTCTTCCTCCTCCTCCTCCTCCTCCTCCTCCTGCTCCTCCTCCTCCTCCGCTTCCTCCTTCCCCTCTTCCCTCCTCCTCCTCCTGCTCCTCCTCCAGCCGCCTATACGGGAATTCCAACGTGCAGGATGGAGCATTGCTGTCCTCGACCCGCGATCAAGCACCCCGCTCTGCTCCATCCATGCGCCTGTTCCAGCATCCCTGCCGCAGTCCTCGGCGCGGCTTTCGTGTCCCAGATCGCTGACCGCCCCTGCCAAGTCCACGCCGACTTCATGGGAATCATCAAGCTGGGCAACACGGGAAAAGTGCAGCAGCTCGCCAGCAAGACGCCCTACGCGTGCGTAGCCCGATTCACGCAGTCGCTCGAGGGCTTTTCCAGCACATCCAACAATACCACCATGTGAAGGCGCACAGGTCGGGCTCTGACTACGAGGCGATGGACTACGAGCAGCGATGACTCACTGATGCCAACATAGTTGCTGATGTGTGGGCAAAGACGGCGACATCCATGTACCCGAGGCCGGATGATGACATGATCGACGCCATGGAGACGGCCGTGAGCAGGGTAGGCAAAGTAGCACGACTGGTGGCGAACGTCATGCCGATCTTCGATAAGGACGACCAACTGAGGTGGACGAGGCAAACCCCAGCACATCGGCGTGCGGCTAGCACGCGTAAACCTACCTGGCATCAATGGCATGATGGCGTGCTCGGGGTACAGTGCCGTGCTTGCCTACAACTGCATGTACCAAGAGCCCCACTCCCACTGACGGGGTGCGGGAGCACCCCAAGCTTCCTCAAGGAGTTCCAGCTCAACCAGCTAAGTCACAAGCTAGTGGCGGTCAACCAGTGCGGGACACTGCTTGGAGACAGCATCGAGAGCGTCAAGACTGTCTTCATCTGCGTAAGGTGTGGAGCCTGGGTGCAGCAACGGCGTCGTCTCAAACAGCGACTTCCCTGCGTGGTGGCCGCAATCAAGGGCCTGGAGGTCTTTCAGAATCTCAAGAAGGGCGCAGGACCGCACAACACATTGCAGAAGTTCATCGACTCCACCTCCCCGCTCA